GAATTGGGTACACAGTTACCCACCACCTTACTCGCCCAAGAAACAGAATGAAAACTAAAGAAAGCTCCGTGTTCTACTGAGGGACTTAAAACAAATTAATAGCTGATGTATACTGATGTAAGACCTGAAGTCTTGATAACTGTCCCTCTTTTTCAGAATAGAAGAAATAGAAACAATGGGAAGAAATCACATTTGTAGTGGACTCATGACCAGGACCTGGATTTTAAAACTTAAAATATTTCCATTACTTTAAATCCCTCCCTTTTTTTGAGACAGAGTCTCACTGTTGCCTCGGTAGTGTCATGGCATCATAGCTCATGCCAACCTCAAATCTTGGGCTCAAGCAATTCTCTTGCCTCAGCCTCCCAAGTAGCTGGGACGACAGGTACCCGCCACAGTGCTCGGCTATTTTTAGAGACAAGGCTGGTTTCCAGCCCATGAGCTCAGGCAATCCACTCTCCTCAGCATCCGTGTGCTGGGATTACAGGTGTGAGGCACCGTGCCCAGCCCCCTTTGTTTTCTTTTAAAAGGCAAAATAAATTAATCGTATAGAATTATGTTATATATAAAAAGATCTTTTATTAACAAGAACAAAAAAAAGGTCTTCTCTTAAAGTATTTGGTTGTCCCTGCACCATATCTGCCCACTCCATGGCCTGACCTCAGGAAACTGCCCTATCCCACACCTACTCACACAGTTCCTGTTAAAGGGGTGATCCAGGCAGCTGTGCTTTACCATATATTCTTCTCATGAATCCTCCAAGCTCTGGATTGAGCCATCAAATGCATCTACTTGGTAATGAAGTCACATAAAGGAAGTTGTCAATGGGTAGAGATAAAGGGAATGGCTGCCCAGGTCTTCCTTGAAAACCAGCCTTCACGGCTCCCCTATTTTCTTACATTGGAGACTGAGTAGTCTATTCTTCCAATCCTCACCTCAGCCTACCTTTTCTCATTTCCCGGTTGGACAGGGTTTTTATTTAATCAATTCTCAACTAAGTATGTGTGACTATTTCATACTGCAAAAAGTCAACTTTAGACCTTGCAGAGTTAAGAACTGAGTTTACCACTCTGTGCTTAGTATATGGGGAGAGAAGATACATAAGCTAAATCGAATGAGATGATTTTTGTTAGTATAGCATCTTGAAGAATCCTTTATGAGGCATTTTCTCACCATTACATTTAATTGCCAAATCTTGTCAATTATACTTCTCAAATATTTTTCTCATCCATCATCTCTCCATACTCACAGCCATCTCTTATCTCACTATAACACCCTTTTGAGCAATATAAAAAGATGTAAGGAACTTACTATTTTAAGAAAATGCAAATGCCAAATATCACTGAAAAAGACTTCAAGATTCTCCCATCTTTTCCCTTGATATTTATTTTCCTCATGGGGACCTCTTTCTAATGATCATTGCCTCTACCAGAGAAGTACTAGTTTCCTTTCTACCTTTTGGATTGGTCCTCTTTCTTTCTTATTCACAGCATTGCTGAATAAAGCTGAAATAGTTATAAAAAGATTTTGAAGCCAGGCACAGTGGCTCACACCTATAATCCTAGCACTCCGGGAGACTGAAGTGGATGGATTGCTGGCGCTTGGGAGTTCAGCCTGAACAAGAGTGAGACCTTGTCTCTACTAAAAATAGAAAAAACTAGCTGCCTGTGGTGGTGCACTCCTGTAGCCCCAGCTACTAGGAAGGCTGAGGCAAGAGGATTGCCCAAGAGTTTGAGGTTGCTGTGAGCTATGACACCATGGCACTCTACTCAGGGTGACAGAGTGAGAGACTCTGATTCCAAAAAAAGCTTTTAGAAAGGTCTCAGGGATAACAATAAAAAAATAAAAACAGCAAAACACTGAGCAAGATGCAACTTACCTAATTAGGTAGGGCTTGAGTTTTTTTTTGTTGTTGTTGTTGCAGTTCAGCCAGAGCCAGGTTCGAACCCACCACCCTTGGTATATGGGGCCAGCACCCTACTCACTGAGCCACAGGTGCCACCCAAGGGCTTGAGCTTTTTACTCAACAAATATTTGAACACTCCGTGATTACCACTGTGCATATATTAATGACGTTTCTCCAGGGGCATGTAGTAAGGGGAGTATGCTAATGCTGCGACAGGATAATACAGGATAATGAGAGCAGAGCATAAGAGGCGGCACCTGGCCACAGTGTATCACCTCAGTCATTTGAAAATGCTCAGGAAAGGCCGTGCTCTATCTGGAAGATTCCCAGGGACTGAGCCCTGTGGAGTGACTATTCCCTCCTTCCCAACTGCGGACAAGACGACGTGAGGGACCTTCGGCTAGCAGTTTGCAGAGGCTTCCCTTCGTCAGGGGTATTACCGCTTGTCTTGTGATGCTCATTATGGATTTTTCCAGCCTCTAACTCACCAGGAACTTCCCACCTCACACTGCCAAGTTTTGTGATGATAAAATGCCTCTAGTCTAGGGTGACCAGACGTCCCGATTTTGGCAGGACAGTCCCGCTTTTCAGCAATTTGTCCCGCGACGTTTTAAAAAAGTCCGATTTTTGGAAAGAATGCACGAATGGACTGGAGAACAAGAAAGGAATATACGGTTTTCGGTGGCATATGGCTATTTCGCCAGAATATGAGTTTTATATTATTTTTGTTAATTTTATAATGTTAAACTGTAATAAATTGCTGAGAAGTGATTATCGAGAACTGCTTATCAAAGTTTGCATTGTTGTCAGGCCCTGCCTGCCCCGTCCCTTGCGCTCCGCCCCCGCCCGGCCCCGCCCCCGCCCCATGTTGTCCCGCCTCCAGTCCCACCTACTTGGGAATCTGAGATGAGAGGATCACTGGAGCCCAGGTGGCTGTGAGTTAGGACTTTGCTACTGCACTCTAGCCTGGGTGACAAAATGAGATGCTGCCTCTAAATAGGTAAATAATAAATAATAGTAAATAATGTGTGTGTAATCTCAGGAGGGATGTAAATTGTTTTGGGGGGACAAAAATTAATTTTGTATAAAGCACAAAAAACATATAGTTCATAAACTGATATATATTGTATGTGGGGTTATTAAAATTTATGGGGAAGAGATGTTTAGAAAAAATATCTAAAAAGGCTCTTTAGGGAGGTGATAAAGAAAACCTAAGGAAAAGTTGTGTGGAGATTCTTCGGCCAATTCAGAAATACCTAAATTAAATTAATTATATTTTTAAGAATTCAAAATCCCTGGATAAAATAGAAAATCATGGTAATTCCATTTTAAATCAATGTATTTGTGAATGGTTCCAATTCTTTGGCCTTGTTTCTCCTAGCCAAAGTCACCATAATTGTTCAAGTGTAAAGAAAACATAAGGATTAATTTTTATTTTTTATAAAGAGTCTCAAGCTATTGCCCGGGGTAGAGTGCCTTGGCATCACGGCTCACAGCAACCTCAAACGCCTGGGTTTAAGCGATTCTCTTGCCTTAGCTACTTGAGAAGCTGGGACTATAGGCGCCTGCCACAACACCCAGCTGTCTTTTGCTTGTAGTTGTCATTATTCAGCAGGCCGGGCCAGATCTGAACCCACCAGCTCTGGTGTATGTGGCTGGCGCCTTAGCTGCTTGAGCTACAGGAGCCACCAAGGATTAATTTTTTTAAAAAGGTTTATGAATCATTATGTTTATAACACAGAGTACAAACCAAGAAAGTAAATTTATTTAAACTACTAAAATAGTTTTTAAAGTCATTTACAGATCAGCTGCTACAATTATTTTTCCTGAAAGATATGTGACATATTTATTACTTTTAAATTACTTGGGTCACCGAAATATTTAATAAAACCATTTATTTTTCTATATAATATGTACGTATAAAATAAGCTTTTTCAAAAACTGTTTTATAATCGTCTATAAAATAATATAATCTGACTTCTTGTAGTCAGGAACAAATTACCATGAGGGGGTATAAATTTATGAGTCCTAGTGGTAAGAAATTAGGCCACTCCTATTACCAGGTGTGGGACCCTCAAAGGGTAAATCATGAAGTTAATGACTGATTCTAAAAATAATATTTTAATTTAAAGGTTTATGGAAAATAAAAAAAAGGGGACTCTAGAATAGAAGATTTTAAGAAAATTAAAGCAGGTGACAGATGAGAAAGCTCACAACTGAAATACTAATGGTAATACAGAAATACATTTATCATTCTTCATATGTGGTAAAATTCACTATCTTGGCTTGAGGCACTCAATAACATTGATCACTGTGCATAGTAAATAAATCTAAAGATTTATATACATATAAAAATGTCTGTTCTGGAGTGTTGTTAAAGGATTTAGACTCAACAAGTAGATATCTAGAAAATGAAATCTTCTTCAAAAGCCCAGGATAGCTAGATAACAGACAGTTTACCAATTCCTGAAACTGTATTTCTTAATTTAAAACTAAAGCTTCTGGATATGTCCAAAATAAACTGTTCTCAACTTACTTATCCTTAAGATTCAAGCGAACAAATACATTAACATGCTTTAAAAATACTTGCGAGCACCAAGAATTTCTTCAAAGAAAAAATAGGACTAACCTACATCTCAGTGCCTTATTGCAATATTTTATCTTGCAGACTGTTTTCTTCCTCTTACCTTCTTCATTATACAATTTCTTTCTTTTCCCTTGCTTCTTTTTCTCCACCCTCCAAAAACAAAAGAAAAGAACAAGTCCACGCACACCCCTACGTAACCTTTCATTACTGTTGTTCCCATAAGTGGAAGCTGACTAAGGAACTCACAACAATGGTGTAAAAGGGAACATAATGGGAAAATCCATGGTTATATTTAGGAAGCTATCTTAATAATAATGCAACAAACTTTGTCAGAAATCTAAGTTAAAAAGCTGGGAAGGTTCACAAGAAAGAAGCCTAATCCTTCTTACTGGTTATAATATAGCGATAATGATTCAGCCCAGAATCAAAATGACACTCTATGGAACTGCACTGAATTTACACTCCCAAGGTACCCTTAACGAAACAATTCTCTCATATAACAGACAATTAGGTTGAATAAATGTCTCAGATGTTCCATGTTTAAAGAACCCCATTTCCTTTAAAAAGAAACCAGTTCTTTTAATAAAGAGCTCTGAATCCTATCTCTGGTTAGAAAGTCCGAAAACTTCTCAGAACTTGAGCCATGATTTTCTCTTTTCTCATCCCTTATAAGCAGATGCCTCTTTTCAGGGTGTTTTCAGGTTGTACAGGTAGGACTAAGTGAGAAATACGACTCCAGAGCCCATTCAGCTTGTCTGGGTCCATATGATTGTAGGAATTAGGTGTATCAGAGTTGGTGAACTTGACTTTGAGGAAATCTCTCACTTTTTCTTCAATTTCCTTTAGGCCAAGACTGGTTCCAAGTGTCTCTTCCTCTAGTAAGACAGTGAGGACTAAGGCTACATCTTTGAAGGCTGCATTTTCATGGTCACAATATTTATAGAAGATCAGAGTAGAGCCTGCGGGCAGTGACTCGAAGCGGTGTACTACAGCTGCGTTCTGGCCATTTTTGAATCCATTGCTCAGTTCCTGGTCTACCTCTAGTTTGACAGTATCACTGTCTTGAGCAGCTTTGCCTGCCCCATCAATCCGGATGGCACGGACACTCCAGAAGGAAGAATAAGCATCAGCAATCTGTTCACTCAGACATTTAAGGGCCTCTTCAGCATCTCGGGCAGCAGTGAGCAGCAAGACAGCAGGCTGAGGCCGAGGATGGGAGCTATTAAGATGTTTTTCCAGTAATGTTAGGCTCCTTTTCCACAGCTTCTCATCTTGACCTTGGTACTTACTCCGAAGTTGGTTCATCTGGTTCTGGAACTCCTGAACGGCAGCAGTGGTTTCCACTTCAGGAGTATAAAAGAACCAAAAACTCCCCAAGGCAAGAAGAGCTATTATGAAAAATGGCCACCACAACTTCATCTTGACAAAAGAAGCATTTTTGGGTTGTCTAGTCAATTCTGGTCAGAAAAGAATAAATGACACATATAAATACCATTTTCTTAGATTCAAAGGTGAGTGACTTTGAAAATCAATATTTATCTTTACAAACATTAACGAAAAGAGGAAGGAGTTTAGAAAAGAGAACTGATAACTTCCTTGCATAAAGAAAATAATTTATCATCTTTTCAAGAAAATTTCAATACCCATAGGTTTTGAGTTATGTGTATAAATATGCATGTATCTCTTCAATGTAAAAATGATAAAAAGTATTCGAGGAAAAAGTAGCATTTCAACATATGAAATGGCACAAACAGTTGAGAAATAATAGTTTATAAAGCAAAACCATTATTAATACCGTTAATAGTTGGGAGAAAAATAGCATTAAAAGATACTTTATATTTATAAAGTATTTTTTAACTTAGAAATCCAGCAGTTTACATTTCACATGGCTAATTATTCAAGGAGGAATATTTCCTTCCTTTCTTCCTTCTTCCTCCCTTCCTCCCTCCCTTTCTTTTTTTTTAAGAGACAAGATCTTGCTCTGTCACCTAGGCTGGAGTGTTTTGGTGCCATCACAGCTCACTTTTTTCAGGAGATCTTCCTGCCTCAGCCTTCTTAGTAACTGAGACTATAGGTACATACCACCATGCCCAGATATTTTTTCTTACTTTTATAGAGATGGGGTATTGCTATGTTGCCAAGGCTGGTCTAGAACTCCTGACCTCCCAAAGTGCTGGGATTATTGGCATGAGCTACCATGCCTGGCCAAGGCAGAATGTTTCTGCAGTATATAAAGAGATAAATAAAAGGATGCAATATAAGTGAACATCTTCCAGATATTGTAACACCTAGTTGTTCCTTTAAATTAATTGCACTGATGCATTTTTTTTTTTTTTTTGGTAGAGACAGACTTTCACTTTATTGCCCTCTGTAGAGTGCCATAGTGTCACGCGGCTCATAGCAACCTCCAACTCTTGGGCTTGTCTCAGCCTCCCGAGTAGCTGGGACTACAGGCACCCACTGCAACGCCCAGCTATTTTTTTTTTTGCCGTTCAGCCAGAGCTGGGTTTGAACCTGCCACCCTTGCCTTGGTATATGGTGCTGGTGCCCTACCCACTGAGCTACAGGCGCCGCCCTGCACTGATGCCTTTTTGTGGTATGCAAGTTAACATTGGTAAAATTAAGTTTGCAATTTATCCCTAATTAACATGGCCATAACTATCAATTTATATTTATCTAGTGCTTTTCATATTTTCACACTTTTTCATATTCTGCTTCATTTAATCAGCTCATAATACATAGTAACAATACACTTATTTGTTCATTGACTGCTCTACTCTAATAACTGTACTAGGGACCTTTTTGGAATAGTACTGCTCAAAGTGTGGTTTTTGTGGGGATACCTCAAGACCCTACTTTAGGGCGAGTCCATAAGGTTAAAGCTATTCCTAAGATGTTATTTGACTTCGTCTGCTTAGACCTTAGATTCAAAGGTGAGGGACTTTGAAAATCAATATTTATCTTTATAAACATTAACGAAAAGAGGAAAGAGTTTAGAGAAGAGAACTGATAACTTCCTTTCTTAAAGAAAATAATTTATCATCTTTTTAAGAAAATTTCAATACCCATAGGTTTTGAGTTATATGTATAAATATGTATGTATCTCTTCAATGTAAAAATGATAAAAAGTATTCAAGGAAAAAGTAGCATTTCAACATATGATTTGCACTGATGGTACAAAAGCAATGGTGGGAAAAACTAATGATGACTTAGCGCTATTCAGAGGGCAGTTGCACTAAACTGTACTAGCGCAGCCATAGCATTTTCACTGCCATACATGCAAGGTTTAAAAGAGAAGGCTAGTTTCATTTAAGACTCTCATAAAGCAGTTAAAGTTATTTATTGTATTAAATCTCAATGGTCGAATACATTATGTTCTCAACACTGCACGTGAAGAAATGGGAAGTATGCATAAGGCACTTCTGCTGCACAGCACGATGGGCATCTCAAGGAAAATAACTTTGTGCAACTGAGCTGTAAGCCAACTAGTACATTTTTTTAGTGGAATACCACCTTTTTTTTTTCTTCCAGTTTTGGCTGGGGGCGGCATCAAACCCGCCACCCCCAGTAGTATATGGGGCCAGCTCCCTACTCCTTGAGCCACAGGCACTGCCCCACCACCATTTATTTTTTTACTTGAAAGAACAAGTAAAAAACTATTAGTCAGACCTGTGTATTTGACAGACATGTTCTTGAAAATGGACAAAGCAAGCCTATTACTTCTAGGAAAACAATCGATAGTATTTGTCAATTACAAAATTTAAGCTTTCAGGTGAAAATCAGGGTTTCAGTGAAATTCTATCTGCCACTATAAACTTGATACCTCCCAATACAGTATTAAATGTCTTGACGTTGGTAGTGATAGTAACAAATGTGATCTTTTATATTACAAATGTGTTAACATTTGGAAGATCCGCATATTTTAGTGAACCAGGATCTTCCAAATGACCAGCCCATAAAACTCCATTCAAAGTAAAAGAAAAACCAATGACTTTAACATAATAGAGTTCAGGCAGTGCCTATAGCACAGTGGCTAGGGCGCCAGCCACATACACTGAGGCTGGCAGGTTTGAGTCCAGCCCGGGCCAGCTAAACAACAATGACAACTACAACAAAAAAACAGCTGGGCATTGTGGCAGGCATCTGTAGTCCCAGCTACTTAGGAGGCTGAGGGAAGAGGATCACTTGAGCCCAGAGTTGGAGGTTGCTATGACCTATGATGCCACAGCACTCTACTGAGGGCAACATAGTGAGACGCTTGTCTCAAAAAAAAAAAAGTAATAGAGTTCAAGAAGTTCATTAATAAAGTTTTGAATTTCATATATATATATATATATATATTTTTTTTTTTTTTTTTTT